CCCCCCCCCAGACTCACAAACACACACCCTCACCCCTCTCTCTCCCCCACAACACACCAAAATCAACATCAGGTTGCCACGGCGGTTTTGCGGACATCGTGGCGCACCACGTGTCGGCCGAGGGCGTGGGGTACAATAGCGACTACCCGTACGCCTCGCATTGCTGGGTTGGCTCGGGCGGTGTCGTCGAGCCCGAGGAAATTGACGCCGACGATGAGGGCGGCACCGGTGAAGGCAAATTGTTGGAAGTAGATGCTGCTGGCAACACCACCAAAAGCGGCAGCAGCAGCAGCGGCAGGGAGCTAAAGGATAGATCGGTGGCAACGGGCATTCCGAAGGATCCCAGCAAGGTAAGAAAGCGGAAAAAAGGGGAGAGAGGCGGCGCACTGCCAGCCGCGGGAAGGTCACCTCTCTGCCTCCTGTGCTGTGTAGGGTTCTGGTCCGTCATCATCTTACGACCGTCGGCAGCATCGCGTGACGGACTTCGGGCTGGCCGGGGGTGGTGGTGGAGCAGAGCAGGGCGAGTGCACACCGAGCAACGAGGTCCCGGACTGCCAATTCCACAAGCCGGCTCTATTCAGCACGGTCGGTAGAAGGCACCCACCACCCCACTCACCCACCCAGATAGACAGACAGACAGACAGATACCCCTTCCTTCATCGTGTGTGTTGCAATGGAACTGCAGGCGGAGTGGGGCTTTCTGCCGGGGCCCGGCGAGTGGAATCCCAACACCCGCGAGGCATACACACAGGACGAAATCGTCGAAAGCGCCATGGTATTGTGCACACCACACGGGGCACACAAAGAGAGAGCAAGCGAAGACAGTCATTCATCGATATGCTCGTGTGGGTACACGTGTGTGTGTGTGTGTGTGTGTGTCAGCGTGACATCTATCGCAACGGCCCCATAGTGACGGCCTTCACCGTCTACAGCGACTTCATCCCATTCTTTGCTGACAACCCCACTGGCGTATACACACGAGTAAGCCCTCACCCACCCACCCACCCAGCCGCCCCCGTCTCCCTCCTCCACTCTCTCTCTCTCTCTCTCTGTGGTCAATCAGAATTACCTGATGAACCCAGTGCCTGTGGGCGACCACGAGGTGGCTGTGGTGGGCTGGGGGGTCAAGGACGGGGTGCCCTACTGGCTCATGCGCAACTCCTGGGGCGACGACTGGGGGGACAATGGCTACTTTAGGATGAAACGCGGCACCAACCACGTAAGCATATGTGTGTGGTGTGTGTGTGTGTGTGTGTTGAGAACTTCCATGTGTGTGTATGTGTGTGGCTTGCAGGTGTTTAGCGAGACCTGGATCACCAGCCCGGGTGTGCCGCTGATGCTCGCCACCGACTACGGGAGATGGGTGACCTCGCCGGGAGACGCAACCCACACTGACACCATGCCAAACGTACGGGCACACACCACTCCTGCAGCCATCTGCACAAGAAGAATGTGTGTGTTGTGCGTGGGCAGGAGAATCGCGCGATCACAGGGATGCAGTGCTACGACTACTCGTGCAAGAAGCTGCGGGCTTACTGGTGCGGGGCGACCATCACATCACACATCGAGACACACACTCCTCCCTCCCTCCTTGCCACTGCAGGAAATCGGATATGCGGACGCAGGAGCCCCCCGGCGGTTGGCTGGAGCCTGTGGGGCCGTCAGGGAGCTCAGCCGAGTGCCCCGACGGGCAGGTCGTCACGCAGTTCAAGTGCCAAGACACCCACTGCAGCCGCGTAGGCAGCGCAGCGCTCGCAACACATCTGACTCCACAGCAAACCCATGTCTCTCTCTCTTTGGTTGGTTCTTTCCCAGCTGAGTATTCGCTGCTCGCTGCCCTTGTCGACCTGGCCAGAAAGAGGCTGGCGCGTCGCGCCCACGATCGGGACTTTGAGAAGCGATAGAATCGCCGGTGGCCCGCCTGCATCGTTCCTCCAGCCACCCATTTTTTTGTCACCGCCACAACAACCAGCAGCAAGCTGGCCGTTCTCATGGATAGAGCTGCGGCAGCGGACGGCAGCTGACCCCTCTGTGAGGGCGTATTGCGGAGAGGAGGGGGTGGTGGTTGGGGTGAGTGTGGTGCAGGTGGATATGGCGGAGGGTTACAGAAAGGTTCAGCTGCTGTGCAGGAGCTTTGAGGACATCAACGAGTGCGAGAGCGGGGAAGTGGCGAAGACGTGTGGCGGCGCGTGCACCAATACTGACGGGGGATATAGGTACACACACACACCACACCTCTCCCACACACACACACACACGCAGAGCGAGAGGTGTGTCATGCTCATGACTGCCTGCATCTATCTGTGTGTACGTGTGTCTGCCTCCCTACCCTTGTGTGTTGTGTGTAGGTGCGAGTGCCCCTCGGGCTACCGCCCCTCCTCAGACGAGCCCGACTCGCCCTGCGAAGACATCGACGAGTGCCTCATCGACAACGGCCAGTGCTCAGACACCTGCACCAACACCCCCGGCTCCTACACATGCTCCTGCACATCCGGCCAGGACCTCTCGGCCGATCAGCACACCTGTGTGGTAGAGGGGGAGGGGCCGGGGGTCTCTGGCAGAGCAACTACTGGGGATGGTGCTGAGGAGAGGCGACTCGAGAGTGCTGCGGGGGGGCGGGGGGTGAGATTTTCTAGATTTGCTAGATTTGGGTTTCGGTTTGCTCGACTTGGGCTTTTTGGCTTGGGCAGCGGGGGGGATTGGGGCGTTTTGCTGATGTGGTGTGGGTGGGTGGGAGTGGGGGTGCTGCAGCTGCAGCTGCAGCTGCATTTGCAGCAGCAGTGTGGCAGATAGATAGATAAGGAGGTTATTGCGGATGAAGGAAGCACTTGAGCATAGGCCGTAGCCATCCGACCGACCTGACGCTTTGTGACGCATTGTGTGTGTTGTGTCTGTGTCTGTGTCTGTCTTGCGATTTATTTGTCATTGGGAGTAGGTGCCTGATGTGTCAGACCAGACGGACCGACCGACACTAGAGATATGTGTGTGTGTGTGTGTCTTCGCAGCCTGTCCAATCCACCACCGCGCGAATCATGCGTCCCTCCCTCCCTCCCTCCCTGCCACCCCTACTAAGTCCATCCATCTAAGCATAGTGCTGCAGCTGCCAGAGCAGCACGCGGCCACGATCCGTGCCCACAGCCATGTAGCCGCCCGTGTGGCTGAAGTCCAGGGCAGTGACGCCCTTGAAGACGGTGCGCTCGGTGGGCCAATTCTGGAACACCGTGTAGGACGGCAGATGCAGCTGATGAAAGATGGACACAATTCATGTGCACACCCCCGACACACAAGCACACACACAGGTGCCGGCCGATATGTGTGTGTGTGTGTGTGTCCCTACCAGTTTGAGCTGGTTGTTCTTGGTCTTTGAGGCCATCGCCAGTATCTCACACGAAGGGTGGAACCGCAGCGTGCTGATCTCGGTTGTCAGATTCGTCACACTCTGACCAATCCAGCGAACCAACGCACCCACAACCTCTCTCTCCCTCCATCCCCATCTCTGCAGGCCCTGCTGTCTGTTTCTGACCTTGATCGGACCGTTCGGCAAGCCCGTCGACACAGATGACAGCGGGAATATGTCCACAATGCCCGGGGTGCCCCCCGCGGCCAGCAGTGCTGTCGATGAGGGGGAGGTGGTGGTGGTGGTGGCAGTCCTGGTAGCCTCGAGGCACGACACCGAGAGCACACCGACGTCCTGCGTCCTGCTGATGCACCGGCCGCTGCCGAGGTCCCACTCGTAGATCTGCATGGCACGGGGGCATCCATCCATCCGTCCATCCGTCCATCGTGTGTGTGAGGGGCTGGGTGTGCAGGTGTGGGTGTGGGTGTGGGTGCTGGCGGGGGCGGCGCTTACGTATGCCTCTTTGTCAGCGGTATAGAGGATGGGCCGGGAGGGGTGGAACACGCCACGAGCCTGATGCAGATAGATTCACACACAGCACAGCACACAGACAGACAGGAAGGGGTCGTGGGTGGGGTGACCCATCACCACACCCCTGGCTGGCGTGCTGTGCTGTGCTGTGCTGTGCTCGGTGCTTACGTAGACCCCGGCGTTGCCCTTGACGGCCCGCACCAGCTGCTTGGTCTTCCAGTCCACCACACACACGTAGCTGCACACGGACGTGACGCACACAGCCAGCCATAACGACGAACCAACGCATGGCATGGATGTCCTGTGCGGCTGCCGCACTGACCGACCCATTGTTGGTGACGGTAGCGAAGAGCGGCGAGGTGGCGAATTGTGGGTGGTCTGGGGGGGTGAACCGCAAGCCCCAATACTTGGAGTCACCGCTGCGGCCACCCAAACCCGGGATGGTGCGAACCGCTCTGAATGACATGACAAGCAACACAGGATTGCCCTCTCTCCCTCTCCCTCTCCCTCTCTCTGTCTCTCTCTGTCTCTGTGTGAGTGTGCGCGTGTGTGTGTGTGTGTGTCCGCACCCTGACTGCATGTCGTAATCGACGAGCATTTTGCCGTAGCTCGTCAGCAGCACCTGGTTGCCCCCCGGCTCAAAAGCGGCGTCGAGTATCTTGAACCTCTTGAGGTGATGCACGCTCAGACGGGGGTTGTCCCGCCCGTCGACCTGACCACACCCACACACATCAATCAGAGAGATCTGCTGCATGTGTCTGTCAGCCCTGTGTCTGTCAGCCATCAGGGGAGGGCTGCTCTCTATCATTGTCAACTGCTCACTGTGTGCAGCCGCATGGTCTGGTCGTCGCCGCACGCTAGAAGGACCTCACTCGTGGGGTGGAACTCAACCACCTTGATGCTCGAGCTGATCAACACATACAAGGAGGGAGGGAAGGAGGGAGGGAGGAAGGGAGGGATGGCACACACACACACACATTCCCCTGTGGCATGACAAGCACACAAAGCCTCCCTCTCCCTCTCCCTCTCTCTCTCCCTCCCTCCCTTCCTTCCTCCCTCCCGTACCATGACTGGTCCTTCTGGAAGAGCTCAGGCATCCTCCTGATATTGAGTTTGTGCGGCGGCAGCCGTCCGCTCTCCGCCCCACCCTCCAGCACCCTCCCGCTCGTCCGCAGAAATGCAAGCGCCTCGTCATCGCCCCCACCACCACCACCGCCCCCATGCTGCCGCTCGTCATTCTCGTCACTGTCATTGTCTTCTTCCCCCCCGCCCCCCTCTCTCCTCTCTCTCCTCTGTCTTGCGAGTTCCACCCAGCTGGGCGCGGGAAGGTTCTTCTGGAACTGCACTCGCAGCTTCTGCTCGTAGACGCTGCCCTTGACCTCGGTCTCCCTGTCGTCGCGCCGCAGCTTCTTGAGCTTCGGGATGGCCGCAAGGTTGACGGCGATGTTGTCGTCATCGGGGTCGTGCCACGCGCTGCCTGACGATAGGGACGGTAGTGGCAATGGACCGTTCTGGTGAGCATGGCCGCTACGTTGCCGCTTCGCCTGCCGGCGGAGAGCGTTAAGTGAGGTGGGAGAGTGCTCGATGTCGTCTTCTTGTTCTTGATCGACGTCTTGCTGGCCGTCTTGTGGTTGGTCCCTAGATAGATTGGCAAAAGGGTCTTCCTTCATCGGCTCCACGTCGATGCGGAACAGATCGTCCCAATCGACATCACCATCATCCCCTGCTGATTGTCCGCCCTCTTTGCGCTTCCTCTTTTGCTTCTTCTTGGCCTTGCTCGCTGCTTCTGGCGGCTGTTCTCGGTCTTGGTCCTGGTAGAGAAAGCTCTCGTCTTCCCTGAGCTCCTCAGCCTCGTCATTTTCAGCATCATCATCGCCTTCCTCATCGGCCATCGACAGGTCTTGCTGCCGGCGCAGGGAGGCCAGCTGGCCACCGAGCTGCTGGAGTGAGGGCAGGGGACCGCTCATGCCCACACCGCCGCCAAACACGAAATCCTCCAGCTGACGCACCTCCGGCGGGTCCTCCTCATCGTCCTTGTGTGCCTCCACCGACAAGTCGTTCTTCTTGCCCCTCTGCTTCTTCTGTTGCTTCTGCTTCTTCTTCCGAAGGTTGATGAGCGCCTCTGTCGCATCGATGTCCGGCTCGTGGCTCGTCTGCTGCTGCTTAAGCTGCCGGTCCTTCTGGAGGGCCTTGAGCTTCTTCTTCAGCGCCTTGGCGCCTGCTGGTGTGGCAACAGAATCAAGGTCGCGTTGGCCTCTGCGGTCTTGTTGGGCTGATTCATCCATCATCGGCTGGAGGCCAAGATCTGGCGTGAAAGCAGTCAGCTGTCGCAGCGCCTCCTTCCCTCCTTCCCCTCCTTCCCTCACCTGCGAGCTTTTCGCTGATCGAATCGGCACCGTGCCCACGAGTGAAGGGCTGCTGGTGCTGGTGCTCTAGGTGACAGCTGAGATCTGATCGAATAAACGAAAGAAAGCGTCGCCAGCCAGCCATGCTGCTCGGTAAGCATGCATCTATCTGACACAAATGAGGTGCATGGCACTCAGTGGCGGCCTGCTGCACATACGTACAGATCGGCAGACGTTCATGGAGGGCCTGAAGAACCACCTGCAGGTAACACAACACACACCGGTGCCCGTCCATTCCATTCCTTCCATGTGTTGTGTTGTGTTGTGTTGTCGTGTGTTGGTGCATGTTGTGGTGTGTTGATGTGTGTGGTGTGTCTGCAGGAGCAGGGCAGCGGCATCGTACGCCACACGACCACTCACACACACACACACACGCGCGCATGAGGCGATCTGCTGACATGTGTTGTGTGTGTGTGTTGTGGTCAGAACATCATCCGCTTCCCCAAGCCGACGGACGGACCCAAGAAGGACAAACGACTCAACGTCTATGACGTCTACCGAACAGTCAGTGGGCAAGCCAAACCACGTTTCTTCTGGGTGTATGTGTGTCCCTCTGTATCTCTGCGCCTCGGTGTGTGTGTGTGTGCGTGTGCGTGTGTGTGTGTGTGTGTGCAGGTGGAGGATATGGGTGGGTATGAGCAGTGTAACCGCAACAACATGTGGGCCATGTGCTGCTCCAAACTGGGATTCACAGCACCGGTGAGTGCACTGCAGTGCGGGTCTGTCTTTTGTGTGTGTGCTGTGCCCAACACCACGTGCTGTTCTGGCTGTTGTGTGGGTCTCCCTCCTCTGCCTGCAGACATACGCGGAAGCCCAGGAGTACGTCAGTCTGTGTGTGTGCAGACAGACGAGACGAAAAGTCGCACTCACTGAGTGCGCGTTCTCCATCCATCCATCCGTCCATCTGCTGTCGTCGTCTTTGCCTGTTGCAGGCTCATGCGTTCGTACGAGAAGTACATTCTCGAGTACGTGACGGTCGCGGGCGGCCACCCCACCACCGCCGCCAATCCCCGCCCCACGCACCAGCCACCCCCATCGTCTTACGGCCGGCCTTCCGCACTGAATGTCCCCTCACGCACCCCCAACGCCCCAAGGCCATCGCAATACTCATACGCCATGGTACCTGCTGCTGCTCCCAGGCCGCCACAGCAGCGGCCATACCCCTACCAGCCTCCCCCGCCCAAGCGCCGTGGTCGGCCTCCAACGAAAAACCGTGATGTGGCCCGCCCGCCACCTGCCCAGCAGCAGCAGCAGCAGCATGTGATGGTGACCCGACACGGTGGTCAGGCTCCTTCGCGGTCGCCCCCGAGTGGTCCCCCGACCGGTGAGGGGTTTGCGCGCCATGCTCAGCAGCTGGGATTGTCGGCCTCGCCTTCACGGCCTGGGTGCATCATTGTGCCTCAGCAGCAGCCGCAGCAGCAGCAGCAGCCGCAGCCGCAGCCGCAGCCGCAACCAGGGTATTTTCAGCTTCACGGTCATCCGTGGGCTGAGGCGCTGCAGTTGCAGCAGCAGTTGCAGCGGCAGCGGCAGCGGGAGAACGAAGCGGACGCCTTGGACACAGGTAGCAGGCAGGGACACACTCACACACCACCACACACACACACGTGGCTGCCTGTCTGAATGTGTGTGTGTGTGTGTGTGTGTGAACCAGAGCTTCGTCGCATCGCCCGTACCTTGTGTCAGCGGCACCGTGACGTACGAACCCCCCCACACCAGTGGCTGACATCCACCGAGCGCGTCAACCCCATTACCGCAGCACTCAACGCCCTCTACAAGACGGCGTGCGACACAACCACCACAACCACCACCACTGCTGCAGCCGCTGCTGCTGCCCGAGCCGGGAACGGCGCCAAGAAGACGGCCTCCTTGTCAAAGGTGGGCGGGAGGAAAGACCTTTCTGACGGTCCTTGTGTGTGTGTGTTTGTGTGTGTGGGTGTAGCTGCCGTCACTTATGAGCATCCTGAGCGCGATCCTGAGCGAGGTCTGCCAGCACACCCTCTCCCTGCTCAAGGACCACGCCGACGCCGAAGAACTCAAGCGCACCAGAACAAGCGACGGCGACAACACCACCACAGCCGAAGCCGACAGCCCCCCAGCCGTCAGCCCCTCTCAGCTGCACCGTGCAGCGTCGTTCCTCTACCACCTGCCCAACGTGCTGGCGGCCCTGCTGCAGCACGACGACAACCTCAACATCGTCATCGGCACCGCGCCGCCCATCCAGCCCCCTCTCCCTATCCCAGTCCCCCTCCAGATGCCCCCCTCCCAATCACACTCACGGATGCCATCATACGACAACATCGCTGCAGGGGCCGGAGGGGGTGGTGACCAGCCCACAGCCGCAGCAGCGGGTGCAGCAAGCATCGTCATCGACAAGGAGGACGACCGCGGCTCAAAGAACAATGATGACATCGTCGAGAGGGCCAGCCGGCTGTCGCGCTACGACTCGCTCGCCCGAGCGTCAGACGACAACAACGCGGAAGGGGAGGACATGCTCATGGCTGGCGAGGGCATCCACTACGGCTTCGTGTCGGCCCTCTTCGACGTCCTGCAGGTGTGGGAGGCCACCATGGCGCTCAGCCTGCCGCCACACGCCCTGCCAACCTCCTTCCTCGTCAACGTGGCAATGGCCACTGACATCTGCATCCGCACCCTGCTGGTGCTGCTGGGGCGGGCTGAGGGTGCTGGCAAGGAGGGGGGCGAGTGGCTGGTGAGACAAAGTGGCGAGAGGGTGCTGCGGGTCATGGACGCCAACACGAGGGTGTACCCGGATGTGCTGCGTGAGAAGGCGAGCGTGTTGGCGCAGATGGGCAAGGAGGCGGCGGAGGGTGGGGGTGGGGGCGGGCTTGGGGGTGGTCGGGGTGGTGGGTCTG